TAAATAAAAGTGACAGAGTATTGACGCAAGTACACCAAGCATTCAAGTACCCACACCAAGGAATGCAAGATTAAGTTTAATTTTCTCCCAGGCTAGGCGATATTTTAGGTTCCTGTAACACCTATGAAAACCTGCACAGGCACCAGCAGGCACATCAAATTAACATTAAAAGTGTTTTTATATGATACAAACGCAGAAGGAAGTGCAGCAAGACAGTTACGGTGTTTCCATTCCCTGCCACTGAGGCTTTACCTTGATCCCCTCTCCCCAGAGTCTAGGAACATTTGCTTTCTTAAATAAGAGCCCACAATCGATTTTCCTTTATGCAAGTTTTAAGTAAGTTACAGTCTTGCAAATTCATTCTTGAGCTGGAAACTTTTGGATTCAAAGAAACGAAGCAGAGTTTGAGATTCTTGGCAAAAAGCAGTTTACAGAGAAAACAGTAGCAGGGACTTGTTTGTGCTCAAACGGCATGCCTATAATTCAGACAACCACCACTGCTGTTCCCATTTATTTAGCAATATCACACCAGACATTTTTTACTTTGGAGAGCTATGCTATTTAATGTGCTAAAAACGTTTTTAGCTCTGAAAGGCTGCAAGATGCATCACCGAGCTATTTAATCAGAACAGCCTTCCAACAACAACAAAAAATTCAAGCCTTAGACAAAGAATAGTTTTAAGCCGACACAGATTTTAGCCGGATTGACTTCCGATAGCAGTTATACAACATGTGCTGCAGAGAGGCAGCGGTGCACAGGTCACGCTCCATATTTGCCGTACAGCATTCTTCATACATCGGCTCAGGGAGCAGTTAGCCTCAAGGGTTTGCTTTACCCGTGTTTGAATCAGCGTCTCTCTCACGGTATTATATACACGCCGTTAAGTTACTCACTGTTTCAGAGTGTTTGGATACCAGTGGTATGTAAACAATTCTTATTTAGGAAGGTCTGACCCCATTTCTTTCCGTCCCTCGTTGCGGGGTACTTTATGCCCGCGGACATCGGCTACCCTTCGTGAGCACCTCGGACATCCGAGGAGGGGTCACGAAACGCTCTCGTTACCGGTTTCGGCATCAGACCAAGCACCGAGGCCTCGGAGCCTTCCAGCCCGCCGTACCCTCCAGCCCACGGCGCAAGGCGGGACCTTCCCGCAAGGACTCTCCCCGCGCCCTGCCGACGCCGAGGACACCGGCTTCGCTCCTCTCCCAAGACCCCCTCGCAGCCGAAACCCACCCGGCCCGCCCC